ATTCGCCTTGGAGATGAATGGAAGACGGCGTTTAAAACACGGAAAGGATTGTTTGAATGGTTGGTAACGCCATTTGGCCTCTCAAACGCACCAAGTACGTTCATGCGTGTAATGAATCAAGCTCTACGCCCGTTCATAGGTAAATTTGTCGTCGTCTACTTCGATGACATCCGCATCTTCAACACATCCGTGACCGAGCACGCCCAGCACATCCGTGACCTCCTCGTCGTTTTACGTCAAGAGAAGTTTTTCGTAGCAAAGCAAAAATGCGAGTTTGGCACCACCAAAATTCAGTTCCTTGGCTATGTGATCTCGGACAAAGGATTGTCGGTTGATGAGGCAAAGATTGCCGCGGTCAAATCATGGCCCGTTCCGCGCACTCTCACGGAAGTCCGTAGCTTCCACGGCCTAGCGTCTTTCTATAGACGTTTTGTTCCCCACTTTAGCACGATAATGGCTCCTATTACAGGATGCATGAAGGAAGGGAAGTTCGTGTGGTCCAGTGACGTAGATCAAGCTTTTGCGCTTATCAAGGAGAAGTACACTTCAGCCCCGGTTCTAGTGCTACCGGATTTTTCACTAACTTTTGAGCTGCAATGTGACGCGTCGAAGTTGGGTATTGGTGCTGTCTTTAGCCAACAAGGGAGACCAATATCTTATTTTAGCGAAAAACTCTCCAGAGCGCGATTACGGTATAGTACTTACGACTCTGAATTCTACGCAATTGTGCAGGCAATTCGACATTGGAGACATTACTTGGTTCACCGGGATTTTGTTCTCTTCACGGATCATGATGCTCTTCGCCACTTGGATAGTCAAGCCAAGGTCTCGGCCCGTCATGCCTCCTGGATCGCATTCCTCCAATAGTTCACCTTCTCTATCCGCCATCCAGCCGGAAAAAACCAATCGCGTAGCCGACGCACTTAGCCGTTGCCACTCACTTCTCGCGTTAATCCATTCCACCGTTCTCGGGTTCACCACATTTGCTGATCTTTATTCAACGGACCCTTTCTTCGCGACCATTTTAATCAATGTTGAACGCGGGTTTTATCGGCGATTTTACGATTCATGAGGGATTTTTGTTCAAAGGGTTGCGTGTGTGTATTCCCATGTGCAGCCTTCGTTTACAGATTATCCGCGAGCTCCACAATGAAGGACACGTTGGGCGTGATAGAACGCTAAGCCTTGTAAACACGTCCTACTTTTGGCCATCGGTTCGTCGTGACGTTGAATGTTTTGTTGAACGATGTCATGTGTGTCAAAAAGGAAAAGGCAAAGCTTCTAACGCAGGGTTATACATGCCATTGTCCATTCCGTCTCAGCCGTGGACTCACCTCAGCATGGACTTTGTCTTGGGACTGCCTCGAACCCAACGAGGCCATGATTCCATTTTTGTCGTTATTGACCGCTTCTCAAAAATGGCTCATTTTATACCCTGCAAGAAGACATCGGATGCGGTTAATGTGGCCACACTTTTTTCCGCGAGATTTATAAGCTCCATGGGCTGCCATTGTCAATTGTTTCCGACCGTGATTCTCGTTTTCTTAGCCGTTTTTGGAGGTCGTTATGGAAGTTACTCCGGACTTCTCTTGACATGAGCACCGCATATGACCCTCAATGTGATGGACAAACGGAGGTCGTTAACAAGTCATTGGGCAGCCTCTTGCGTTATCTAGTCAGGGATCATATTCGCAGCTGGGATTCGAAGTTATGTCAAGCGGAGTTTGCTCACAATCATGCAGAGAATAGGAGTTTGGGTTTCAGCCCCTTCCGCGTTGTGTATGGACTGATTCCTCGCGGGCCGCCGGACTTAACCCCGATGCCGGACCGGACCCGTTTCCACGGGCAGGCTATTGACTTTATTACGGAGCTCGAGCTGGTGCAAAAGAACGCTAAGACCAATTTGGAAGCAGCTTTGGCTAAGTATAAAGTGGCAGCGGATGTCAAGCGTCGGGAACTTCTTTTTGATCCGGGTGACTTAGTATGGGTCGTGCTCACCAAAGATCGTCTTCCGGCGTGAGAGTATAACAAACTCAAGGCCCGTCGGATTGGCCCAATAGAGGTCCTTGAACGCATTAACCCAAATGCGTATCGCTTACGATTGCCACCTCATTTGAACACGTCGAACGTCTTCAACGTGAAGTATCTTTCACCTTACCATGGAGACAATGATGAGCCGGATTCGTGGGCGAATCCTCTCCCACCTGGGGAGACATGATGTAGCGCATCCTACCAGTTTATGACCGTCGAACAAGCAGGCCGGTTTAGTAATACTTGTTCGACAAGTTAGCATCATTTCTTTATTTCGTTTGTTTTGATTTCATTAAACTCGAGATAAGTCTAAATCTTTCAAGATTAGATCATATCTTTGCTTAGGTTAGACGCACCTATGCTTCCGTTTTCCTTTATATAGAGTCTCAAATCCTTGTATCAAGATCATTGATTTGAAAGAAATAAAAAAGAAAACCCAAAAGAAGAGCTTGTGTGAGGAGGACTCTCGCCCCGGTTACGTCTCGTTATCACTTCTCTGTCACCATCCCGATCGTCTCCTTCATCCCCTCTGTTCTCAACTCGTCCCTTCAACTCTTCTTCTTCTCCTCTGTTTTCCGCCATTAAAACAGAGCTCCTCCGCCTCTCTTCATCTAGCTTCCGCCTCTACACCAGTTTTTAAATCGTTTTAAGACAAATATAGGATGGTAGTAGTATAGCAAATCTTGGTAATGCTCAATCAAATTTTATATGTCAATAAAATAAGATATTATATATTTCAGAGTATTAATTGTGCATTAAGGATTGAAATTTATAGTTTAAACCAAATAAAATTATGAGAATTTAGGCAAAAAAGTATGGTACAACTTATCCATAAGGACCATAACTATTGCAACCAGGGCCGGCGTTAGGGGGGTTCCAGGGGAGCAAATGTTCCGGGCCAAAAAATTTTTGGGTAAATTTAAGGGCCCAATTTTTTTTATTAATAAGAAAAAAAGGTATTTTAAAGATTTTAAAATATTTTAGTATGAAAAAGGCCCAAATATTTTATTTAGTATAAAAAAGGCCAATTTTAAAGATTTTTTTAACATGAAAAAGGCCCATTTTTTTTTAATATAAAGAAAGGGCCAATTTTTAAAATTTGTACAGAGACTCCAAATTAATTGAGCCGCCCTGATTGCAACGGTTCAAAATGTGGCCTGGTCTTCTTAATTTCCTAATAACTATACAGTTAAATATACTCAAGCGATATACAAAATGTAACCTGGACGGATATAGCATCCCCAAAACATTTATCATATATTTATGAATGTAATTCAAATAGGAGTAAATTGCTTACCATGAGAAGTTTTTAAACATTCCAAACTTTACTACAACTTATATGTATCTTTCAAACACAAATATATAGATGAAACATGAAAAGATTAACGAGCTGAAGGAATATCACTGATGAAAGTTACGCTATGTCCCGTGGACTTACTTGAATTTTCATCCTGGCTCCTTCCTTTACTAAGGTTATATATTTCCAAACACTCATTTAGCTCATGAGCAACCCGAGTCATGTTTGGTCTCTGTGTGGAAGAAGGGTTGATGCACAACATCGCTAATTCAAGAGCTTTCCAAGATGAACTTGTGTCGTAATCTTGATGGAGATTTGGATCCATAATACTTTGAATATCACCATTTGCAAGCATAGACTTGGCCCATTCTACTATGTAAGACTTATCACGCGATTGTTCAATCACAGGTTGGCCAGTGATAATTTCAAGTAACACAATCCCAAAGCTATAAACATCACTTTTCTCTGTTAACCAATTCTTTTGATAATATCTGCAAGAAAAGTAATTAAAGATTTTGATTTGTGTTTACCAAACATACAAGAAAGCATATCCTGAATACTAATGTGATATGAACTAGCTAGAACTTACTCGGGGTCAAGATATCCAAGAGTTCCAGCAACATTTGTTGATACATGAGTTTGATGACTTCCCACTAGAAAAGATCTTGAAAGTCCAAAATCGGCGAGTTTGGCTTCAAAACGTAGACCTAACAGTATATTGGTACTTTTCACATCTCTATGAACCATTGGCGGCTTACATCCAATATGCAAGTACTCAATTCCTAGTACATATATATAAAAAAACTTCATATGTTAACTATTTCTCATAAAAATGAAGTTTAGAAGGAAGAAGAATATATCTACTTGAGAAAAAGTAACATAATAAATTTTCGACAAACCTAGTGCAGACTCAATAGCTATTTTAAGTCTACTCGACCAATTCAAGACAGAGCCACCACGTTTTCCTGCCAAAATGCACAATATGGATAGAATTCATTAGAAGATTTTGAATCCTTTGGCATGTAACTCATAAATCTTTGTTTCGTACTCTAATGGTTTACCCGAGAGATGTTCCTTTAAGTTTCCATTTTCCATGAACTCGTAGATAAGAGCCAAGTCATTTCCTTCATCACAGTATCCGACGAGGCTTACTAAATTCACGTGGTGAACTCTTAGAAGTAGTTCGACCTAACAATATGGTTTAGTTAATTCATGAGCTCATGATTATCCAAAGAAAAATAAGTGGAGGATTGTAATACTTCTGTTTTGAATTCCTTGTAGCCTTGAGTTGATGATTGAGAGAGAACTTTGACGGCTACTTGTTCATTATTGAGAAAACCATGATAAACAACACCAAAGCCGCCTTTACCGAGGACAACTTGAAAGTTATTAGTCATTTCTTTGACCTCTGAATACTTAAATCTTCTATTTTTCATTTCCAATGATGGACGTATAACTGCAAAATATAATTTTGTAGATCCATGAGAATTTCATACTTCATTCAATATGGATCATATATTTAGTTTAACTTACCTTTGCGTGTTGATGACTTTCTCCTTCTGAAAATAAAGATGAGAACCAACACGATTATAGTAACGGCCACACAAGATATAGATGCAACAAGCGCCACCACCCAGGATCTTGGTTGGTTGATTATATTTGGATCAACACTAAAAAAATGAAAACGTTATTGAAGAAATTAATTATAAAACAAGAGTGGATATAATCAAAATCATAAAATCATCTCAAAACAGACTCTTACAACAGTTTTAAACCATCATTTTTTTCTCTATCCTGAAGGGCTTGAGGAACAGATCCTCTAAGATTGTTTCCTCTTAAGCGTCTGTGGATGTGGAGAAATCATTAGAAACTAATGAAGAAAACACAATAATATTTAGATAACTTACATGACCAGCAACGATTTGATCTTGGCTAGAAATTCAGGCACTTCTCCAGTCAAGTTGTTATTCGATAAATCCCTATAATTTTTCAAGAGATCAATGTTAAGTAATCCAAAGAATTTTTCCTTTATAATTATATTCAGTTTTGTAGATACGTACAATTCTCGAAGTAGAGTTAGATTCTGTATGCTAGGCGGTATAATTCCACTTAATCCACTTGAAGACAAATCTCTATTTGCATGACCGGAGACATATAAGGATACATTTGTCATTTAATTTGATAACAATGTATAATATGAATTTTCTTACAATGCGATGATTCTCGGTGGTGTGGAGATATCTATAACGTTGCAGCTTACACCAATCCATGAAAACTGTTTAGGGACACATGGATCGCCCTGCCACTGCCCGCTGATTCTACTCAATTGATAAGTAGATTGAATGTTCTTGATAGCAATGACTAACAAAAATACAAAAGAATCAAGAATAAATTATGCGTAAGAACTTATACGTTTTATAAATGAATAAAACTATACACAGTTTTGGTTTGTATGTTTAGGTTGTTTTTTAAATATTATCTCCTTCTTTAGGGTCAATATTTTCCGCTGGCTTAGTTTTAATAGATATGTATTTTTCAGTATTTAATTTCATCCTTTTTAATAAATTTAATATGACAAAAAAAAAAAAAAAAACTACACGACTACATACCATCATCTGTATATGTCTCTGACTGTGGAAATTGTATGACGCTAAAAATCTCTATAGCATTCATTAGGGGTGGTAGAGTCGACCTCGGTGTTTTTGAAAGCTGCACACGACATAGCCCTCCCTCGCATTTTAGTGGTGCAGGGTTGATTAAGGTCTCTGCTTCAAACTTCGTTGGAATATAATTAGTGTAATCAAGACGACCATTCGCCACAATTTTGAATTCCCTAGTTTCATTGGTCTTTAATTTCTGGATCTCAGCGAAGTAAAGGTAAGCATACGTTTGGTCATCAGAGGATTCCGAATTCCAAATAAATTCCAATGGCTCGCTGACATTAGTGGGTATGGCGGCGGTCTTAATTACATCTTGTGGCGGGTTATAGCCATCAGAAAAGCCACTTACATTTCGGGTTGTGTTTATTTGAGTCCATTCCGGTTGTGAATATGGCATCCAAATACGATCATAAACATCTTCGGGATAACTGCCACAGTCAAGTATTAACTTTATATCAATAAACCCAAAAAAAACATATGGTTCTACTGTTATGTACTTATGTTGTCGACATACCGTATTTCCTTGCGTTGATTGGTGAAGTCAAAGTGCACAATCTTCTTTAAGGAACCGGTTCGAGCAGTATAAGTATCATATCGCAAAGGTCTTAATTCTATGGCCGATATCATTGGTGTACTCGTCCCTGTTTTACAAGACATATGTCCAAGATGTTAGACCTTGTGACGTGAATGATCTCCTCAATGACTCCATCACCTAGCCCCGGTATTAGTACATCTATGCTTGTCCAAATATTTGGACCGAGAAAGAGGTCAAATCTTGGAGAAGTATTAAGACCGTCATAGTTTCCATATAAGAAAAAAGTCCTGATTAGATACTTTGTGCCTTGCTTCACACTCAAATTGTAGCAGTTTCTAGTTCCTTCCGGAAAGTATCTCAAAACCTTGTATGGCTTCGAGATAAAATCCGTCTCTGAGTTATTTTCGATATTACCAGTTTTTCCTCCTCGGATGAAATTGACATCTGATATGTATGTTAAATTGGTCAACGGTTCGATATAAGGAGATTCGTTAGAAGGTAATCCGCAATCCAAACTGATGAATCCTGGCAAAACATGATAGGGTAACAAGAGGAACAAGATATCTTTTGTTTGAGATAATTCATATATCAAAAATATTAAAAGTAGAAGAAAAAAAGTAAGACAGTAAAATTAAAATTAAATACCTTGTTGATTTTGAGACTTAACAAGAGACATAACGGAGAAAGTGGCACAAGCGAGAAGCAGAAGCTTGTTAAGATACTCCATTCTCGATTCTGGACTACTTTTCAGTTCTCAACCAAAAAGTCTTGATACATTATATTTAGAACCCCTCTTATGAGAACTGGAACTACAAAGTTGGCAATGTCAACATATGGAAACGTCACAGCTTCCAAAAATAAATGAGCTAAATTAATAATAGTCTAAGATGGAATTAATGAGTAATTTCTAGGAAGCTCAGAAGCTGTCAAAAAATATATGGTTCTACCACTTCAACTCAACATAGAAATCTTAAAACTATATTGTTATAAAGTTGGACAAGACTTTCTCAAAGTAGGTGATGATATAATGAGATGATCATAAAGTTTTAGATTGAGGTTTATTTAAAATATAATTTTAAAATTATAATTAAAGATGTTAAATTTTTATTAACCATACTAATTTAAGTCATTCATTAATTTTTATAGTCAAATAAATAAATTATGCATTTTTAAAAAAAAATAAATACTGAAAAAGCTTATAGTATAATCAATACAATAAAAACACTAGGTTTCTCTCCTGATCTGACACATCAGCTTTTTCAGCTTTCCTGAACATGACACATCATTAAAAACTTTGGCCAATCAAATTATAACAATTAATACAGATCATCATATTTGTCCAATAAGAATTCTCCTCTGTTCCACATCATTTTTCTATATCACCAACTTGGGCTTTTTCTTATTTAGTAGTGGGCTTATTTTTATTTTGCAGTGGGCTTAGTATTATTAACACAATAACACCAATCGGAGACGAAGACTAAAACTAAATCGGAATTTTTGACGAGAACGAGAAAAGGAAAGGTTTTTAAAAATCGGTATTTGGATCCATGAGAAAAGTTTTTGAGGGTTCACAGGTCGGAGTCGTAGAATATGAGCTTTGTCAAAAATCTCCGCCGAGATGCTCCAGTTAGTCATGCTTCAAAACTGCCGGACTCTTATAATTGAAACCGCTCCGCCTGAATTTGTCAAGCTTTTCCGTCTAACTGGTTCCGATTCCGGTAATTTCGCTTTTCTTTTATCTCCTTTCTTGTTCATTGGTTTGTTTCTTTCAGTTTTCATTTCTATAAATGATATTGAATGGTTTCTTAAGAATGATCCTTTTTTTTGTTGAACAAATTGAAATGAACAAGTCTTGTTTGACACCTTTAACAGTTTTACCTTCTTTTTCTTGGTGTTTTGGTGTTGAAATTGAGTGCAAAATTAACCGCAAGTCTTTATGGAAAGATTGTTAAAGTTAAAGGTCAACCTAAAGTATGTTTAGCGTTAATCTATGTAATATTGTATCATCAAATTGTTAGAATGTAGCTCTAGCTTTATCAAGATACGGGAATTTAATAGTCTTCAAACTCAAAGTGAAGAGGAATGTATAGTGCTTTTACTGATATGAAATTGTTTTGAGGACTTGATTTTTTTTTGTGTTCCTTTACTGCTACGTTAAAGTTCTATATTTTGGATCTCAGTGAGATTTGCATGCTATAGTGACTTTGAAGACTTGTGTTTCTAGGCACCGAGTATCCCAACTATTGCTTCAATATAAGGTGCAGCACTGGGAGGTCGAGTCGAAATGGCTCTAGCTTGTGATCTTCGAATCTGTGGTATTGACTTATCTGGTCATTTTCTTATTATAGTCTACGGGGAAAGATAGGCAATTATGGTTAATATTCGGAAATTCTCAGGCGAAAATCCAGTATTTGGCTTGCCTAAAACAGGACTCGCTATAATCCTTGGGCATATAATAAGCTTCATCACTCTTGACAAATGATTTCTCTTATTATCCTTTTCATCATTCTTCTGATAATTTATTTCTCTTTGTTCTATTTAGAGTTTATTGGACACAGAGGCTCTCGAGGTTCGTACCGTAATATATAAGGGGACTTTATATATGACTTTCAAATCTTATGCACAAGTCTCCTTCTTTTATGTTATAAAAATATATTGATGAGGATTAATCTTATACTATGGTTTTAATGAAACAAAGTTATAAAAATCATATTGATATGTAAATTCAGTCAATATTCGGTGTTTTAGGTACATTTCACTTAACAAACTTAAGTTCATACAATTTGATCTAATTATGAGAATTTAATTCTAAATATCATTAACACAATTTTTTTCTACATTGAGCTAGATTTTAAAGTGTGTTGCTTTGTCTTGATCAAAGGTTATGTTTTGTTTGTTTTCTTTTCAATTTTCAGCTTCAATTAGGTGTGGGTGAGATTTATACATTGATGGTGTCGAAGTAGAACGGGCAATCGATTGTTGGAGCTGCCACGATCGAGGTTTTACTTATCCTACTATAAGTTATAGGTTATAGGTTTTCGGTTTCTTTTCTGCCATTTATTCACTGTAAGCATTTTCTTGAAAAAAAAAAACTTTGTTTCATTTGTTTCCAACATCTAGGACTTTTGAATTCAATTTTGTGATAAGCTTTAGCTATATGTCTACTAAAGTCTCTTGGTTTGATGAATTTGGAAAATGAAAGGCAGTTTCAGATTTTTTTTTTTTTTGGCAAATAAACCTGATTAAAGCTGAAAACAGAGTCTTACACTCCAGGCAGTTTTAGAGCTTATGTTCCTGTTAAACTGGTATGGTTATGTTCTTTTGCTTGATGTTCTGTACTTTGACTTGGTTTTAAGGGAATAGTTGCATTGCATTGACCTTATCAGCTTCAGACTTCAGTTACGGGTTTTAAGCCAGCAGAATGTCTACGGTTTTATTTCACTATCAAATTTGCAATCTTCTTTTTGATTCTGATTTTCGTTACAAAAGAGGAAGAAGTGGAGATGATGTTACTCAAAGTTTAGCAGTAGAAGTCTGATACGTTAGAGCAAGTATACTATCGTAAGAAGAAGAAAAACAGAAGGTCTAAACAGAGTAAAACAAAAACTAATGCTGAGTTGGCACCAGGCCCGTGCCTACGTTGCCGAAAATGAAACCTTCGCCTACGCCATGTTTTATTTAGAAAAATCCAAATAGCTTACTAATATTTATTTAATGTAATTTAAGCCTGAAATTTACTAGAGAAACATGATGTTTTTGATTTTTTAGTTCTTAATCTACACATGATGTTGAAAAAAAGACTAACTTAGGTGTTTTTTCAAAATTACCAATTAATTATAAATTAAAGGTAAACATTTAAAAAAAAGGTATTATGCTGTTGTTTGATATCACAATTATCTCTTCTCATCTTAATATCGTGGATTTGAACTTCCTTTTTATCGTTGTTGTTTTGATTATCTCATCTATTGACAAAAACTTTGTCAACTTGGAAAATTTAGTTGATTAAAGATTTGATTAACAAAAAAATATGATTTAGAGTATTTTTTATTTACTTATTTTATTTATTTATTTAGTATATCCATGCTACATAATGGGTTAAATGCTTTATATAGTTTTGATCAATTACAGATTCAGAAGCCTCTTTATTTAAACCTTAAAGGCATGTATAAATTTCTATGTCGGCCAATTACTTTGATTGCATAAAGACCTAATTATCATCCTATACCGTATATAATTAGGATGATAATTAGGTGTTTATTTAATATAAGAGTAATCCACAGACATAAAAATGTTTTATGGACAAAATACCTATAGTTTAGGTACGTGACTATGTGACTGATGTTTAGATAATATATTGCAAAAGAAATTTAAAATGAAACAAAATGTAAAAACTTATTTTGAATCCTGTCTTTTTTTCTTAAATACACGAAGAAGAGTTTACTTATCGGTTTATAAAAAAAGAAAAAAATGGAAACAAATAATGTGATTTTAACATTTGCAAATGATGTCTAATAAATATACTTAATATAATTTATTATATTCTCGGTTTGTTTCTAACTTCCATAAAAATATTGTTTATTGTTTAAATTCAAGTTTGGATACTCTTTTGTTTGTGTTACAAAAAAAGCAAGACAACTTTTCTTATGTAAACCAAAAATATAAATTTCATTGTGGACCTCATAATCTTAATTTAAGCAAAGTCATTAGTAACAAAAATAATTTATAAAAATTTTCCCGCGGCGGAGCGCGGGTTTTTACCCTAGTATATTTAAAGCTAGTTGTTGTCATGGGCATAGCGCGAGGATAATAAATTAAAATAAATTTGGAATTACTTGATATGAAGAAATTTAAATGCTTTTGATATTTGATAATATTGGAGATTTATACATATAAGGAGATTTAAGTTGGTTTAGGTTCATTATATACAAAGAACATTCATAATTGATAAAAAAAAAATATTAATCCCATTATATGGTTTTGAAAATAAGACTTTCTAAGGTTGAGAAATGCCCTAAAATATCACTAAAACAAGTTTTGTGGACAATTATAGCACACACTCCACACACTTCCAAAAAAGCATTAGTTGACACAAATGTAAAATAAAAATATTTAAAAAAACTCTAAAATACCACTAAACTTAGTTTTGTTCCCAAATTACTATCATTAGTTTTTTTTTTCTCAAACATACTACTACCAAAATTTTTAGTATAATTTTATCATAATACTACAAACACTAAAAATAATTTTCAAGTGTTAATAATTTAAAATTTTGGGTTTGGGTTTAGTATTTAGGATTTTGTTTTTAGGCGATTTTGACATTGTTTTAAATTGCCCCCAAAGTTAAGAATATTTTTGTATATTAAATTTGTTTTATTTTTGGAACTTTTGAGATGTGTTAAATTTAGAAACAAAGTTTATTTCTGAGCTAGCTAGTATGTTTGCTGCTTAAAAAAGCAACTTGAATTTGTCATGTACAAAATATTTTGTTGAGAATATCATGAAATTTCACTTTTTTTTTTTTTCATGAAATTTCACATTAAATCAAAACTATTTAAAATCTCAACGAATAAACATTTACAACCAACATTTTATAGAATTTAGACGTGACACACTTGTAAGGTTTTATACTACCACTTGACAAAAGTCTAACGAGAAGACCATCAAATTTACCACTTGTAAGGTTTTGCTCAGACGATTAGTCCAACACTGGACGTGCCTTATTGTTATTGGTACATGCATGTTGACATTTCCGATTAGGATCCATCTCCACCAATAGAAGTATATAATTTAAATCTAGTCTTCTATTGTTCATTTGTTTTCTATATATCCATAAGTTTGATTTGGTAAGCTTTATATTATAATGTACTTTGATAGTTTATGCTGTTTTTCTTGGACAGATGAAGAATGAAAAGCTTTATATTATATTGTCTTATGTAATAGGAATGGTCCTTTTTATTTTATAAGATAATTCTTGGTAGTCCAATACTCCAAGCCATATCATTTTCTTTTTCCTTTTTATTGTCTTTTTCAGTTTTTTTTTCCCTTCTATTTTATTTTATGATGCAAAATAAGTTAATCATTGTCGGAACAGTACAATATTTGTGGCCTGGTCTTCTTAATCTTTTTTTGATGAGTTGGCCTGGTCTTCTTAATCTTAAGTTAAGCATCCACAACTTAACATTTATCATATATTAGTATTATGGCCCCTGCTATGCAGGAGCATATGCTATTGTTAAAAATTTAGTGATTTTTGTTAATATTAAAGGATTTAGAAATAAGAAATTATGATGTATAAAAAATGATCAAAATATATAGAGAATATTTGACAAATCCATCTTTTTGATGAAACCTATTAAGTATTAACAGACACTGAGAAAATTTTTTGAGGACATGATTTTGAAAGAAATTTAGAGGACGAAGCAAACATTATGATAAGAAAAGCAAATACCGAAAACTCACCAAAAAAAAGAAAAGCAAATACCGAAAAATAGAAAGACAAAATTTAGAAAAAAAACTGGAAGATCTGGAATAAGTTGCAAATCTCATCCTTTTATATTATGAGACAAAGGATACATGATGGTTCGAAGAAATTTGTGGATGAAAGTGGGAAGTTAGTTAATTTGATAATGGTTGAAATGAAAGAAAAGTGGGATCGTGGTTTCATTTAAAAAAAATTGTAGTTTAAAAAAAATCAGTTTTCGACAGATAAAAAGGGATTAAAGGGAAAAAAAAAAACTAAATTAATTTTTTTTAACTTTTGCCGAGATTTTTTTTTTTTTTTTAGCTTTTTAAAATTGTAGATGACACGTGTCACTCAGAGAATTGCTGACTGACTTCTGTTTTATATAATAAAAGATTTATGAAAGTTATTCAAAAAGGAATAAATTCTGTCGGATTTTATTCTTATGAAGTAGTTTAATATTCTAAAATAGTTATAATTTTAGGCATAAAAACATGATTACCTTTTTTAAAAAGCCCCTAAAATATTGACAAAAGAACCCTAAAATATGATAAATATTTTTGCAAAAGTGAGGTGGACTTCTTGTAATGTAGCATACAGGTCCATAACATGTTTGGAACCCATGAAAACTTAATATTGTTATTAAAGTAAGATGCAAAACTTAATCTTATGCATATGATTGAGTATAAGAACTAGACTGTTGCAGTGAGTTTACCTCGACTACAAGTTATAAAATTAATTACTATGACATTAAATGATAACCAAGAAGGTCATGGTGAGTTGGATTTAAAGACAGATCAGTTTCAGAGAGAGCCGTACTTGAACCCATGGACATGAAACATTGCAATGGGACATTTACTTTAGGAGAATTTTTTTTTATTACAAAGAGGCTCACATTTTAAGAAAAAAAATATTATAGGGAAAAACACAAATAATATTATTTTTCCTATTACAATGAAACCGCATTTTAAACAAAAAAAAATTATTACAAAAGAAATAACATGAATAATGGTATTTTTGAAAAATTACAATGGGGCCCAGAATTTGTTGGTCACTTTCAGATAGTTTGTGTGTTAATGCAAACATATGAAGTTGTTTGGGTGTGTTGGTAACTATTTTGCTCTCATGATACTTGCTTCTTATTCACCTCCTCACAAGCTTATGCATCTACAATGGATTTACTTATCATATTTGGGTTACGAACCAATGGCTTCTTTCCAAAACAATAGCATTTCTAAATTTCCAAATTCTTCACAAAAAGAAAAAAAAAACGTAAAATTCAACTTTTGAAATAATTTCTAGTTTTCCATATCTAATTTCCACTCAATGTTATTATATTGTTCTTTTTCATTCTTATTTTTGTTTTTCACACAAACATTAACGTCCGAAACCCTAGCTAATTATTAACATCCAACCCTTATTTATAACGACCAAGCATTACATACGCATTAAGGTCTAAATTAAACTCCAAACCCTATGAAGAGTCCTAAGCCTGACACTTGGTCGGAGCTCCCTCCTGATTTGCTGATATCTATTTTCGAACGGTTGAGCTTTGCGGATTTCCATCGTGCTAAGCTCGTATATTCGAACTGGAATTCAAGTCAGTTCCCCAAGAAATCAGATCTCCATGGCTAATACTATCTCCGGATGGAAAACAAATTGCGTGCTATACAATCCAGACGAAGACATGATTTACAAATCGGAGAGAGACTTCTCTGGTATTCGATTTCTTGCAAACTACGGCAACAGGTTCCTAGTTATAGATTCTCGTTCCAATCTCTATATTATCGATGTATTCAGCGAGAATAGGATCGATCTTCCGCCTCTAGAGTTGCTCATGTCAGATAATTTTGCCCTCAAGCGACATGGAGATAAGAAACTCAAATTGTAAGTAACTGATAACCATTGATACAAGATTGGAATCACTCCAACTTTGGACCACTTGATGATCAAGAGATTTCCAAGCTTGTCACGCGAAAGGTGGAATTCACGAGCTGGCTCTGAAGCACTCTCTCGTGAATCAAGGGGTGATTCAATGGATAGTGGTGATTGACTCGCTCAATCGGTGGGATAATCAACTCACTCGATCAATGAACGAATGAAGGTTGTTGAATCACTCAACAAACTTAATCCGCAGGTTTCTAAAGTACTAAGTGACTCACTCACAAAGAACTAAAGAACAAATGACAAAGACTTAAAACTTTGACAAGAAGAAACAATTTCTATTACTTTAAAATGATCAAGGGTGCTTTAGAATGAACGAAATAATGAGCTTATATAGGCTCATGTACAATATTCTACTACTCTAAAACAAGAAACAAATCACAGCATTAAAGAGATATGGCCGTTGGACATTAATTGTAGAATATGTCCAAATAAGGCAAGTGAGGTGTGCCTTGTATCTTGTCAACTTGGGGAGGAAGTTGTGACGTCTTGGAAGCTTCTGGAGGGTCTCAAGATTCTCACACAAGTGCACAAACAAAGAAGGAAAGAGTTGTTGCAAGTTGATCTTCTTCGGCTCCATATATGGCAAGTAGTAACTCCACGGGTTCTTGTGTGGTAAGGTGTACCAAAGTTCGTGTTGTACATGTCTTGTGTGGCCTAGATGTTCTCCTGGTTTCTATATGTAGCTTTGAGGTGCGTCCAAGTGTAGAATAAGGAAGATTTCCTTGTTTGGCTTCATTTGGCGCAGTACTTCAGAAAATAGTTCAGTGAGTAGTTCATCAAGTAGTTCAGCCGGTCTGTCAGGAAGTACATCAACTATATGTACTTGTAACATCTTTGAATCAATTGCTTGGTAAATGATTCCTTGATGACTTGATGTTGCCTCGTTAAAAACATTTCTAGGTAAACTCATTGGGACAAACCCTAGATAAGGGAAAAAGAGTGCAACAGTCAAATTTCCCCAACATGGTGATTCGGCTCGCTGGTCTTTGATTCCTCCTGAACTATCGTTAGTCTTCTTAGGATTAGTTTGCTGGTGAATAATTAACCCTAGGCCTTGTGCTTGATTAGGACTCCATTTGGGCAAGAATCCTCCAAAATACTCCATATCAACCGGTTTGATACATGTATCGGCTGGTTTGGTATACTCCCGGTTTGGTTTGATTTGGATGTCCGCATCAACCATGAAGGTCTTGTTTTGTACTCAATAGCCGAAATTTTAAGAGGTCTTTTGTGGATAGACAAGAAAACGAAAGAGTTTGTTGTAGTTTGGTTCTTCAGTTACTCTTACAGATTTTTAGGCTATTGCAAGAAAGGTGATGATTATTACAGTCTCATTGAGCTATGTTACGTCCTCCCTGATGAAGTCTCAAAAATACGGTTCATATCCATGGTTCATCAACAAATGGGTCAATGCAAATTAAGCCCAAAATTCAAAAGAGTTTCTAGAAGACAATCAATTCATGGATATATCAAGAAAATATCTACATACAAAGAACCAATCTCCATTAATGATGATTGATAAAATCTCTCAAAATTAATTCATGATTTATTTATGTAATTAATTTGATTTATTTTGCATTTATGTTGGTGATTTGTAATTTGAGCCTATATAAGCTCATTTCTCCATCCATTGTAAATATATAGAATATTTGGAATATAAAAAGAGTTTTCTCACCTTTAAAGCTTAGGCTTTGTTTGCTTGTCTTTTCTATTGTATGTGATTCCTTTAGAAAGCAAGTTGAATCTCTGTCTTTGTGTGCGATTCACATAGATATTGATTCGTGTTCTTATCACAAAGTCATTCCACAACTTTGTGTGGCGAACTTTGATCCATCCATCCACTTGAGTTCATAGAGAGCGTCGTACGGCCAGCTATAGATTCACCATCAATTATCCCTTGTAAGAACAAGCCCCCCTTGTTCCTACATCACTCCCAAAGGGGTTTGAAGATATATCTGATATGGTACTTCATGGTTATTTTCTTCACATTGCTACAACTCATGCTTATATTCGATTCCTCGATTTGTCTGAACAACAAATCAAGGATGTTACTGGAAAATTCCCATTGACAATGTTAACTAAATGGGATTTTCGAGAGATATGTTACCTCGATAGCATTGTAGTTACAACATCAGGAGAGGTTTTTTTGGTTCGGAACAACCTTAAAAGGACAAATATTGAAAGCGGTAAGAGCTTCCGTCTCTCCAAGAAGGATCCTAATGTAGACCCAGATAGATACTCCAATCTGCTTATTGAGGTAGATTCTCTAGGTGATGAGGAGGCACTACTTCTTGACTTGGGTTTCACTTTGCCCGGTATCGAACCAAACTCCATATATTTTTCCCGTGACGACCGTTATTTTTGCCGGCGGGATTCAAAACTGGACATCTGTGTGTTCAATCTCGAAACCAAGACCCTCAAACGCTTCCCTAGTCTCTCCAACATGAAGCTCAAAGATGCTCGATGGTTTGTCCCTGGCATTTGAAAATTCCAAACATTTCCTTTATTTTCTATATCTTATAGCCTTTTGTTTCGTGCCTATTCCTTTTTGTTCTTTCGGTTATGCTTAATTATAAACTATGAAAATGCTGGCTTTAGGCAACACTTGCTGGACCTTAACAATCACTTTGCATTTTTGATATGATGAGTCCTCCCTTTTGACCTCATTGGTGGACATATAAACTTGTATTTTTTGTATTAGTTTTTCACATGTAAACAAAAGCAAACAAAAATTTTGACTGTGAGAACCGTTAGAGCATGTGCAGTGGTGAGAGACTAAAATGAGTTAGTCTCTCACAATATAATATTATTATTTTGTATGTACTTTATTATGAGAACTTTTTACAGAAACTTTACTTTCAATGGTGAGTCTTTCACCAAGAATCTCTCACTAATATAATAATTATTTTTCAGACAAACAAATACAATATTATTATAGTTTATTATTTGTAATATAATTTAAGGTGAAAATATATTTTATATTTTATTTTAAACTAAAAGATTTTTAAATTATATCAAATTATATTTTAAATATATTCAATTTTATTAATTAGTTATATTTGTTTATATAATCTGTAATAGTAAATATTATAATCTCTGGTTTATGTAATGTTAAGGCAGACTGCTTAGCCCGTTCTTCTCGTCTTTTATTTTCTGAAGTTACTTTTGTAAGCACTACTCCTCCTAGTTGGGCAACCAATGAAGGAGTTTTTTAATAATTAATGTGTGGTTGACAAAAAAAAAATTATATATATATAGAGAAATTCCTAAAAATGGCCCTAAAACAAGTTTTATTGACAATAATAGCACACACTCTATAAACTTCCAAAAATAGCACTAGTTAACTTACTATTAGTGTTTTTGTTCTAAAAATTTTATCACTAGCTTTTTTTTTCCAATAATATCACAACTTTTATATAAAAGCTATTCAACAAAATAAATTAGAAATAAATTTAAAATATTATATTTGGGTTCTCTATTTCCAATTTAGAGTATATATTTCCACCATTTAAAAGAGATTTTGATTCATTTTAATATTAGTTTATGGTATTATATTTGGGTTCCCTATTTCCAATTTAGGGTATATATATATATATATACAATATTAAACATAAAATTAAATAACATAAATTTTTAAAAAAGAATTAAAATGCAAAAATACATAATAACATATAAAACCATGATCAAAGATATAATTAAAGAGATGGAGTCTCTATATATAGGGAATAATTTTTTTTTTTTTGGTCAACATAATAAACTATTATAATATATAATATTATAACTATCAAAATATATTTTAACCTTTTTGAATATCAGATATTTTTAGTAATTAATTTTAAATAAGCGTTTTAACAAAAATAATATTAATTTTTTATTATTATAATTTTAACTAATATTAATTAAAATAATATTAATATATAATTTAAAAATTCATGCATAATGGAACTTGTTAGATAGGTAATTTTATTTTATGATTTATAAAAAAAGTAAAAATTAAAAATAATAAAATATAAACTATTTAATTAACTTTTAAACTATTGGATATTTGATTTATCCTAATAAAATTTAAACCATTCACAAGATGACATGTGTCCCATATTAGAGGCTTTCATCAGGTTCTCGAAGTCCAATCTCATGCACTTTTTAGCAAAAACATTAATTTAATATTTTTTTATTATTTTTAATTGTGAGAGACTCATTGAGAGACTACCACTAATCATGCTCTTAGAGTCTAAAACATCTCCGTAATGATGCCAACGACATCTTCCTCCTCAGCTATGTCTAAACCGGCACGTCAGCTTGGTCGTAAGATACAACAAATCATCAGAAGTAAGCTAGCTAGTCTAGACAATCAGAACCATCAAAAACGCTGTAAATTTTTTTTTGAAATTCAACTATAGCAGAACCATCAAAAACGCTATTCTATACTGTTATTAATATCCTAGTGCAAACATTCTGTTCCCACTCAAGCTCTTTCAAATAATAAAAATCAAGAATCATCTCTCCACTTGCACCTGGTTCCGTTACATTCAATGGTCTCGGCTCGCCTCCAAGCTGACGGATTTCATCAACTCTCTACCTTTCTCTACCTTTCAGCAATTTTAATAAAAAGTACGTAAGCTCAAAATTCAAAAAGGTACCTTTGTAAGAGTAAGTAGAAAAGATTTATATATATCTACATATACATTTTTACAGTACTTTTTTGCTTTAATTCTTTTGGATCCGGGTTTGACCCGGTTTTAGTCTATTCGGATCTTGGATAAGCAATTTTAGGGATGTTGTCTTAATTTCAAACTGATAAATGAAGCCATGTTGTCTTTAATTCATCTACTTATTCTTATACTATTTCCATATTAATCATCTCCGGATACTTAGCATTTGCCATTCGCAGAATTCAGTTTGTTATTATTACCTAAACTAATTGCCACATTAATCGTAACTTAATAACTTTATTCTCTAATTGATTTCGAATATATTCACAATCTAAACTAATTAATATCACATATCTTATCTCATCTATTGTTCCTTTAAATTCTACTATACAATCTTTTAAACAATTCAAAGAAAGAGTGGTTGGATTAAAATCCAAACTAAAAACAAAACAAAATCACAAAAATCATTTTAAATCTTTTCGTATTAACTTTACATAAAACACTAACATTTCTTTTTAACGGATCAATTAGCAATAATCACGTTGATCTTAATCCATTAATTATTTGCCTAAACAACTAACTGAATTTTATACAACTGTTATAGAAATTTTAGGAAAAATTAATCACTTACTATAAATACATTTTAAAAACGTTTAATGCTCAAATCTGTAGTTAAGATTTTGGAAAGAATAATAATTTGAAAATCAATTTCGAATCAGTTTAGCAAATAATTAATTTTTATTCATTGACATAAATATAGATTACTTAAAATAGATCGTAACAATATTTAATTTGATTTGTTTATATAATTTCACCCATATAATTCTTAATTTAATTTGTTTATATTTTCTTGCAGGAAAGTAGAAGTTTATAGCAATCCTCTTTTGATTTGATCTCATTTTTTAAGCGTGAAAGTATTATTGGAGAAAGATTAATGTGGTGTACTACTTAAGCAAGGATCAACAATAGGAATGTTTTAAAAACAAAATATATATGTAATTTGATCACATTTATATAATAATTTTATGAATTTACTTAGAAAAAGTTTAACTTTATTAAACGTTTTAAATATGTATAATATTAAAACTTTAATGAAGTTTCAAATATTATATTTATTTGAATTTTATAAGAATTTATAAAAGTTTAAATATTATAAATATTTATAAAAGATATTAATACATGACAGTATACTACGGGTGAAATCATAAATATAACAATCAAAATACAATTATGAAGTTTGGGTCGATATTAAAACTTTTATGAAGTTTCAACTATTATAAATATTTGAACTTTATACGAATTTATAAGAAGTTTAAATATTATAAATATTTATAAAAAATATTAATACGAGACGGTACACTACGGGTGAAATCCTAAATATAACAATCAAAATATAATTATGAAGTTTGGGTTGATATTAAAACTTTTATGAAGTTTCAACTATTATAAATATTTGAACTTTATAATAAAATGACAAAATGACGTTTAATTTCACGGGACAAAGTTATATGGTGAGACGGGTTTTGGTCGATATTAATATGAGATGATATACTACGGGTAAAATCCTAGAATTAACAATCTTAAACACTAAACAAAACAAGACAAACAATATTAATAAAATAAATACAATTTAAAATTTCAAATTATTAGTTATAAAATATTGTCCCAAGGTGTACTATACAGTAGCATATATTTATAGATCATCTTAAAAAAAATATTCAATTTTTTTATTTAATAAAAATATAGGCCCGCGGTGTACCGCGGGTTAACATCTAGTATATATATATATATATATATATACTTTTTAAAGGAAAAACAAAAGAACAAGCAATCAACTATTGAAGCACATAAACTAATTAACCGTTGTATTAACTTTTAACTTCTTGACTAAATCTTAACATTAAAACCAAAAAGAGAAGATCAAATGATAACCAAGCTGCAACATGGCCTGGTGTTCGGATTTCAGATTCATATCAGATAATTCGGATTGGGATGTTTAGAATCAGAATAGTATCTCAATGATTTTGGGATCGGATCGGCTTGGACATTTTCGGATTCAGATTGATCTAAAAAATTTTGGGAACCCGAAATCTAACCGAAACATAGATAAGTTCGGTTTTGGTTCCAGATTTGGATCCAAATTATCCGATTAAACCCAAAATATCCGAATTACCCAAATTTTACCCGATCAAACCCGAAATATCAGAATTCCCCGATACGAATTACCAAAAAAACTTTTCTTTTTACACAAGCATTAACGTCCAAACCCTAGTATTATTATTAACGTCCAAACCCTTTTAACCTTTTTACTAACGTCGAAACCCTATTTATTAAAGAGAAAGCATTACACAAGCATTAACGTCCAAACACTATGGATACTACTCCTAACCTTCGCACCTGGTCAGAGCTCCCTCATGATTTGCTGAGATCTATTTTTGAACGATTGAGTTTTTCGGATTTACATCGTACTAAGTTTGTGTGTTCGAACTGGAATTCGATTTCGAAACAAACAGTTCCCCAGCAAAACAGATTTCCATGGCTAATGCTATTTCCAGATGGAGACGATGGTTGCGTGCTGTACAATCCAGACGAAGACAAGATTTACAAATCGGTAAGAGACTTCTTAGGGACTATGTTCCTTGCAGACTTCTTGACTTGGGTATCACTATGCCTGGTATCGAACCAAACTCCATCTATTTTACCCGTCAAGACCGTGTTTTACACCGTCAGGATATAAACCTGCACATCTGTGTGTTCAATCTCGAAACCAAGACCCTCAAACGCCTCCCTCGTCTCTCCAACATGAAGCTCATGGATGCTCGATGGTTTCTCCCTGGGATTTGAAAATTACCAACTTTTCCTTTATTTCTCATGTCTGCTTTTGGTTCTGATTATAAACTATGACATTGCACTTTTGACATATCGAGCACTTTTTTTCTAGTCGCAGATGCAGGGATTCTCTGCTTGGAGAATTGTGTTGTATGTTTGTAGATAGGGAAATAACTATACCCTAAGAAGCAGTGTTATTACATGACATATGATCTGACTTATATATATACGAATCTTTCGCAGCAAAACTTGTCCAGTTGAAATTGGATCTTCTGAGGTATAGCACCATGTATATGGTTCAGCCGTTCAGACAACTAATATTGAGCCCTCGACTGTCACAAGTCTTCAAAATGATGATCCGTCTCATCGAATATCTCTTCCTACAGTCACATTCACAAACAAATGACAACTGAATTTAAATAAAATAATAAGAAAAAGTTATGAGAATTGAAGAGGGAATATTTGTTAATTTATACCTGTAAAAGTTCTTCAATGACATCTTCCATGGTAATGATACCAACAGCATCTTCCTCCTCATCTAGCTTTGGAAGTGGATGTTCGTTAAGTTGCAGAATGTCAGCATCATTATCTTTGGACCACCTCTTGCTCCTCGACCTTGCTTTAAACGAATTTGCTCGGTTTGGAAAGCTCTTCCATTTCTGAAGTGATGTCCTTCTCTGTAACTTTGTTTCCTGTGGGGATCTCTCATTATCCACATCCACTCTGACTTCATTTACAGTCTCTATTTAAAGTGGAGAGGAAGCTATTAGTTTGTGTAAGAATTTTCCATCCCCATTGCTATTCCCACGATGAAAAACCAGTTACCGTTTGCAGCATCATTATTGTGTAATGGGTGGATTTTGTCACACTGTTTCACAACAACAGCCATGTGGCTATGTCCTTTCTGGAACTCGTTCAATATATCATATAACGGTAAGGTTTCTGGAACTCTGGAGTGCATGGGAGGAACAACAGCAGAAGAACAAGCAATCAACTATTGAAGCACATTAAACGAGTCTTGAATTGTTTAATTCTGGAAATAAAACTTTAGTTGGTAAAGTTACCTTGGAATCCTTCGTATTGTCACATTCTTGACTTGTATTTCATCATCTGGGTTGATAGTTAGTAAGTTCTTTACCTGAAGATAAATTTAGGAGTCTAAACAAGCAGATACAAAAGAAATTTTTGTCCGCTTTGCTACTAAGATTCTTCTGCTGCTTGGAAAATGATTTTAACGTATCATGAGATAGAAACTTACCAAAACAAGTCCAATTATGTTGGTACGTTGCTCATAGTATACTGGGACTCTGCTATGACCTTTCTCAAGAATTAAATTCATCAATTCCCTGGCAACGGACAAAGAAACTAAGTTTAGAATGATTTAGAGAATTAAGGAATCCGTGCAGGGGGTTGAACAAACTAAGACCTGTCAAGTTTGGCATTGATATCAATCACAAAAGTGTCAGAAATTGGTGTCATTGCATCTTTAGCCATTTTCTCAGATAGTTCAAGAGCTCCAGCAATGATTGTTGTTTCATCATGTGTCAACTCTCCACCCTTACCAGCCTGAAAGAATTTGAATGCTATGTTATTTCGCTAAAAACAAAACATAAACCGCATAAATGGAAACTTGTCAACTTGAAGATGAGGAAAAGGCATGTGGAACAGTTGTATAAACTCAAAATTTGAGATATCAGAGAAATCGAACACATGCCTCATTTCCATGCAAATCCACAAGTGTTTTCAGCTCAGCCCTTCGGAAAAGGGCTACATGACCATGACCTAGTAGAAAGTCCAGCAGCTGGAATATATACAGCAGTACCAAAATGCATCAACGACTGTTTCAGGACAAAGACTCTATGTGCAGGGCACTCGCTCTTGGGAACCTCCCGCACAACTAATAACCCCAATACAAAGGAATCGAGTGAGCATTTAATCACCTTACTAATCGGCCATGCAACTGGTAAGCAGATCCATACTAGAACACGAACAAATGGAGCCATTGTTGCACCAATCGCCAACCCATGATGGGAACAAACTGACTGAGGTATGATCTGCAGAATTAAATCATCTTCATCATACAAAATTACATTACATACACATGAAATTTGACTTAAAGCGACCACTAAGCATCAAATACAAAATACTCCAGCAAAAAGAGAAGTAAAATCAAATCTCACCTCACCAAAGAGAAGAATTAACGTCACTGAAATCAAAATGGCACCCCAAGCCGTCACAAGAGCATCAAGGAATATAGGAAGCGTCTGAAAAAACAGAAGTTATTATTACTAAGATAAAAATAACATTCAAGAACCCAATAAGTTCAAGTCCTAACAATATACCTCCATAGCAGCTGCATTACATATCAGTAAAGTACAAAGCAAAAGATGCTGATTTTTCACAACCGGCAATATCTTTGCTGCATCAAAGACAAAACCCACTTGTGAATCATCAAGATAATGAATCAAGACAATCAAATTGATCAGACAACCATGGAAACAAGTCATTGATGTTAACACTTGTTAATTCCAAGTTCTGGTTACAAGAAAGTTTACAAAAGCTAAACATAACAAGATTAATATACAATACAAAATCCACAAGTTACAATTTAATATTCCCAGAAATATATCTAATCCCAAATTAGTAAGTTAATTAATAACTAAACCAAACACTCGTGACATCTAAAGATTCCGATTCCTATAAAATTCCAAAAAAAAATCAAAATCAAAATTCTCTTAAGAATCAAAAGTACCAGCATGAAGACGATCTCTGGGTGTACCGGATTTAGCAAGAACTTCAAGATCAACGAGACTCATAGACATAAGACCCAAAGTAAGACCAGACATTAGTCCAGCGAACAACACTAGTAACACTATCACACCGATGTGTATAAAGAAGTCCGTCCCGCAACATTCATATTCCACCGCCATAGTTACAAGAAAACCCAGAAATCGAAATTCGAAACCCTAATGTTACGTCAGAGCTTCGACATCTTCGGAAATCAAAATCACGTACGGACAAAAATCCACCGTTTCGAAGTGAAATAAAATCAGACGAGCTTAGAAAATTTTCTGATTGTGATTTGTGACACAAGAAACACGAAAATAAAAAATGGAGTAATTTCTAGTGTGAGAGTGGAGAGACGAAAAGGTGATGAAGAAGAAGACATTAAAACACATTTTGCTTGATGAAGCTGGAGGAGATGATTTGCGTGGCGAAAGACTATAATGTCCACGCGATTTCACAGCAGACGTGTTTTTCGAGGAAGGGTGTTTTGGTCATTTAGTTTATTCCATTTGATTATTAGCAATGTTAGATATTTTGATATTTTAGATATTTTGATTCGATCATCATGGTACTATGTGGAAAGACAATGATGTTATTTTATGGAATAATTGTTACCAAAAGAGGCATGACACCCACAAGGCACAAGTATACATTTTATGGGTTTTCTCAAGGCTAATCATTTTTTAGATGCACAACGAAGGGTGTTTTGGTCATTTAGTTTATTCCATTTGATTATTTAGCAATGATAGACTTTCTGAGTAGTTTAGATATTTTGATATTTTGATTCGAGCATCATGGTACAATGTGGAAAGACTATGATGTGATTTTATGAAATAATTGTTACCAAAAAGGTATGAGACCCACAAGGCACAAGCATACATTTTATGGGTTTTCTCAGGGCTAATCATTTTTTAGAGGAACAAGTGTCTTTGATGTTTGGAATTAAAAACTGAGGATACTCGCATGTTTTTTGTGGCAATTCCTTAGTTGGTACTCGCATGTTTTTTTGTGGCAATTCCTTAGTTGGTACTCGCATGTTTTTTTGGCAATTCCTTAGTTTGTACTCGCATGCATGTTTTTTTGGCAATTCCTTAGTTTGTACTCGCATTTCAATCAATTGGACTAATCCAATCCGGTCGGACCGGCCCGTTCAATCCGTTCCCGTTTTTTTCTCAATCCAAACAGGATTACAATCGTCAATCAATATACTTTTTAGAAATATTTACTCAGATGTTAACCAAAAGTTCGAATATTACTAGAATATCATACATTTTCTAAAAATTACTCATATGTTTTGAGCATTTGTGTAATTACAATTAACACCCTTCATTAGTTTTTTTTAATTAATAATTTTTAATTAGTTTTTAATTAAAAATAATAAATAAAAATTTGATTATCCATGTCATTAATCCACATCACCAATCTCACACTCCTCAAACTCACGTTATTTCTCCTCTTCTCTTTTTTGTCTCCAAATCCAAGAAAAGCTTTTAGATCATTTCTCCTCTTCTCTTTTTTTTTGTCTCCAAATCCAAGAAAAGCTTTTAGATCTAATAATCTGCAACTAACTTGGGTACAACATTGACAGAGATCTTCAAATTGCAGGATTGGGCTGGATCTTCGTAGACCTCACAGCCACAACGCTTGCCATAGGGTCCCAAATCAAAAGCTTCGTCAGATCTACTCGCAACCACGCTCACGAAAAAAGTCATCAAAAATCAAAACCCAAAACAAAGAGATCTATGGAATTCTACATGATTCGTTACAGGTTTGAGTTGAAATCAAGAATAGCTACTCTTTTACTTTGATTTTACATGTCTCTCGTTTAATCTTCCTCTCAATCGATCTATTTGGAGACATTTCTACTTCTATCTATGTTTTGATTCATACGGTTTAGTCTTCCTCCTATGTATCCCTCAAACATATTTTTACGAATCTTAATTTGATTGTTGTTATTTGACCAATAAATTTCATATTGTCTTCTCCAAAAAAATGTTGCTTTCCGATCTGTATTATAAATCAGCCGTAAAGTGATGTAACTCAGCCGTAACGTGATGTAACTCAGCCGTAACATATAATTTACACAACCTTTCGTCTTCCCTGAATGATAACTCAGCCGTGACATGTAATTTACCGAACCTTTCGTCTTCCCTGAAGCATATAACTCACCCGTAACATATAATTTACACCCATCTATCGTCTTCCCTGGAGAATATAACTCAGCCGTGACATGTAAATTTACCGAACATTTCGTCTTCCCTTAAACATATAACTCAGCCGTAATGTAATTTTACCGAACCTTTCGTCTTCCCTGGAACATATAACTCAGCTGTGACATGTAAATTGACCGAACTTTTCGTCTTTCCTTAAGCATATAACTCAGCCGTAATGTAATTTTACCGAACCTTTCGTCTTCCCTGGAACATATAACTCAGCCGTGACATGTAAATTGACCGAACCTTTCGTCTTCCCTTAAGCATATAACTCAGCCGTGACATGTAAATTTGCAGCGAAACAATAAGAGACGCAACATTTCCTCTAACTTTATCATCGAGCACCAACTTCACAAGTTTTTCGTGCGTTGTTTTCGCATCTATCTGCACAACTCTACACCCTCTTTCATCGGTGTTAAATACGTATTTGTGGTTTTATACCCAATTACCGGAACCGGATCAACCATATCGGGAGAAGGATGAAAGAAATTGAAGAAGAATGAGGAAGACGATGAGGAATTGGAAGTTCCGGTGATGTGATAAACTCAGGTGAAGAAGACGAGTTGAAAAAATTTGGCCATATTTTTTTGTCCTTTGATGATGATGACATGGAATGATGACATGGAATGTTGCATCCACGTCATTTTTTAATTGATGAAGTGGCAAGTAAGCCACCAAACGAAAATGTAAATCAGCTTAATTAAACCAGCCATCAAACAAAACTTTAACTCAGCCGCAACATGAATACTATTACAGTAATTAAAAAACGAAAAAACGGCAGCCAAATTCAGCCGTTTACTGTCGTAACTCAACCAAAAATATTTAACTCAGTCGTGTCGTTTAATAAGTCGGCCGTCATTGCATGCTATTCTAGTAATTAATCTTTCGCTACTAAGTCAGCCATAATAAGGCCGAGTTTTCCGTTAATCCAGCTCATTACGGCTGATTTATGATACTCGAACATAAATCAGCCGTAACGTCATCCCATAACTAAGCCGTCTTTGATAACTCAGCCAGCCGGAGAAAGTTAAGTCAGCCGTGTCGAAGCAATAACTCAGCCAAAAATTTGACAAATCAACCATCGGGTGAAAACTCAGCCGTAACTTAGGCTGGGTTTTGCTCGAAAGTCAGCCATTTTATCATAACTCAGACAGATTTCAGTAAGTCAGCCGTAACTCCAGGCTGGGTTATACTCGTAAGTCAGCCGTTTGCTCATAACTCAGCCATTTTTCTTAAATCAGCCGCAACATACCGTAACTCAGCCGTCACTGCCGCTATATCGCTCGACGGCTGAGTTCATTAATACACGTCAGCGATTTCTGACGTGGCGACGCGGCTTTGCTGACGTGGCAGTGGCATTCTTTGTAATTACGTTTTTTCCTGTAACGTTTAACAGGGGCACGCTGGGTATAAAAAATATACCCGAAATATGATAGTAATAAAAAAAAGATCTGTATGTTTCTGGTAATTTCATATAAAATGTATAACATCTGAGTAAATCTCCCTACTTTTTACCTTCCATGTTATATGGTTCTTGCCTTCTTTGGCTTTCCACAAACTTGTCTTGTGACTTTGTTACTCCAATCACTCAGATACTAGGATATGACCCGCGAGTTAATTATTTGATTTTTTTTTATCATTTTATAAATTGATGAATTTGTTGTGTATAATATTTTTTGTTGTACACCGCAGGTCACATGCGTTGTAACTAAAAAATAAAAATTTTAAGTAGTATTTGTTTTGTTTAGTGTTTAAGATTGTATAATTGTATTTTGATTTGTTGAATCTAGGATTTCACCCGTGGTATATTGTCCCGTATTAATATCGACCCAAATCCGTCCCACCATATATAATCCCGTCCTGTGAAATTATACATTATTTTGTTATTTTTTAATAACACTTTTATTTAAAAGACATATAATTCGAGTCAATTTAAAAGTTTACTTTCAAATGGTTTACATAATATATATATTTTTAAATTAGTGTGTGTTTTTGGACCAACCCGCAAAAACAATTTATAATTGTATCTTAAAATACTAAATAATTGTATTTTGATTTGTTAATTTTAGAATTTTACTCGTGGTATACTGTCCCATTTTAGATAATTGTATAAATTTTAGAAAAACCCGAATGACTCAATTTTGGGTCAGAATAAAAAAAATGACATGATTAAATGCGCAATTTGTTCTTCAAAAATGTTAATATAGATTGCACACATACTTTTTTTTTATCGATTGAGTAATATATGTCCATTTTAAAAAATTTGAATCATAACATATGCAGAAAAAAAAACTAATATTTATTAACTATATATATTTTATAATAATTCAAAATAATATAATATAAGATCAAATAAAAATGAAATGAGAATCATATATTTATGTTTAAATTAGGTAAAGATGTTTTAGGAAATTAACTCAAATTTATTATATTAGCATTAAATCATCGTATTTGATTTAATATACCATAAATAAAGATTTTAGATATAGTAATTAGTTGAGAAATATATATATTTTATATTTTATTAAATAAATTCGTTTTTAAAATTTGCTAACATTTAAGGAAAGATCCGATTGAAGATTTCCGGGTCAAAATAAAAAATATCCGACCCGATTAGATTCCTTAAAATGTACTTCAAAAATATATAGTAAACTAGATTGTAAGTGCGGATGAGGTAAGATAAATTGTAGAAAGTAAACGAGACAAGAAATTTGTTAACGAGGTTCGGTTTTTCCTACTCCCCGGGACCAAGTCCAGATTTCGATTTCACTAGAACAAGAAAGCAAATTATAACCAATTCGCAAACGCGTAAAACAAGCCCAACCCTCTTGATTTACCGCTCCCTTCTATAACGTAAAACCTTAAGGATAATCTCTACCCTTAACTAAACTCCCCTTGAGTCTAGATTTAATAAGGATAACCTAACCCTGAGCTAAACTTCCCTTGAGCCTAGACTTCAAAACAAAACCACTTGATCACACAAGCACAAAACCCGCAAAACTAAGTTGCACAAAACCACGAAACTATGTCGCACACACCCTCTGAAAGCTCTCAATGATTTGCCTCTATGCCTCAGCTCTCTTGCTTCTCAAAGACGTCCTCAGCTCCTCCT